GCTTGTTGATCGAAAGGTTGCAGGTCCAAATCTGGGGAGCTGCATGAGCTTCCGCTGTCAGCCCCAGCTTCCGTCAACCTAGCAGTTCAAAAACATGCAAATGTGAGTATATCAATAGGTACTGCTCCGGCAAGAAGGTAACAGTGCTCCATGCAGTCATGCTGGCCACATGACCTTGGAGGTATCTATGGACAATGCCGGATCTTAGAAATGGAGCTGGGTACATGCAGGGAACTCAATGGATGGAGTGTATCTGGATTTCAGGAAGGCCTTCCCCCCTCAGGGTTGAGAAGGGCGGGGTAGAAATGCATGAAATAAATAAATAAATAAATGGAGCAGAAGGTCTCTCAGGAGTATGTTGAGAATAAGGTTCAGCACCTTGGAGAGCTCTTTTAAAGCCTGCATTTAAAACTGGATTAGAGTGTTGTTAGTTACTACTATATTTACGCATTTTCCTTATTTATTTCTATCTCGCCTTTTCTCCAGATCAGCTTTGAAGTGGCTTTATTATTGTTGTGTGCCTTCAATTCATTTCTGACCCATGGTAACCCTAAAGGGAACCTCTCGCAAGGGTTTCTAGGTTATGTTTGTTGAATGGTATACCATTGCCTTCCACTGAGGCTGAGAGAGTGTGACTTGTCCAAATGTCGCTCATTGGGTTTCTATGGCCAAGCGAGGGATCTGAACCTGGTTTCCAGAGCCATATGGGCCAGGCTTTAGCACAGCAGTGATAAGATCACACCAATCAAAAGGTTGGCAGTTTGAAGCCCGGGTCAGGGTGAGCACCTGATCTTCAGCCCAGCTTACTGTCCTCCTAAGCAGTTCGAAAACAGCTGTGAGCTGCGAGTAGAGAAATTAGGCATCACTTAAGTGGGGAAGTATTTTACGGCACCATAAAAAGGAAGTACCAGAAAATGCAAGTGATCAAAAGAAGGAGGAAGTCTGTGATCAAGGCTCTTCATCATAAAGGACCTTCTTGCGGTGACACCGGAGGCACTCCAAGTGGCCAGATACTGGTCAAAGGACATTTAATCAACTACCAAGCTTGCAAACTTTGTGTTTTGTTTGTTTGTCTGTCTGTTAAAAAATGCAATGCAACTGTTTGGTCTGCTCCTGACACGATAAATAAAAAATCATAGAGTATGGAGCGACAGCACCCCCCTGTGGCCAGAATCGAGCACAACCTCCAGGACGCTGAAGTTGGGGAAAATGCCGATATATACCTCTATCTGTTGTCTGTCCCATCTGATTGATGGCATTGAATGTTTGCCATGTATGTGTTCTGTGCTCTGACCTGAGTCCCCTTCAAGTTGAGAAGGGTAGAATATAAAATTTGTAAATAAATAAATAAATAATGTGGCAATGAATCACGTTGGACTTGAAAGGAGTCGTAAAGGGAGGAATACACTAAACTACTTGCTTTCCACCAAAAACAGGAGAAACCAAAGAAAATGTTTGCAACTTGATTTTGTGCACTTATGATCCTAAAATATAAAAAAAGAGAAAAAAATCTTGCAATTTACATACAAAACTGTATTTTATTTTACTCATTTTAATTCAAAATCCATTTGCTCTGCTGCCGTGGACGTCGCCTTCTCAGCTGTAAAATGGCGATGCTTTTGTTCATTAGCACAAAATAAAAGACGTGGTGGCACTGATGATTGTGAGATAGGGAAACATCACAAAATATTTTACTAAATAAGGCGTTCTCACAAAAATAAGGGGATATCATTTTAAGCTGTCACTTCCAATTCAGTCTTTCGTTTGATCCAAAGAGCAGGATTTTGCCACCGAGAAGAAATAACCTAAATTAGATGAAAAAACAAGAGAGATTAGAAGTCATACATCTTACAAAGTATGTATAATAGTAACCTAAGATTATTTGGTACAGTTCCTTTATCCTGGCGGAGGCCACAAGGGGACGCTAGAGAGAGAAGGATAATCCGTTTTACAAGGGGAAAGTTGAAGGAGGAAAACCATTTCCCTTGTTTCTGCTGGTTATTCCCCCTTCCCCCTTCCCATTTCATAAACGAGAGTTGTTTTAACGACAGTGACATGGGTGGAAATGGTTTTCCTCCTTCAACCCACCCCCCACACCAGTAAAATGGATTATCCTCTCTTTAACGCCCCCTTGTGGCCTCTGACAAGATATTGGAATAGTACCAATTATTCTATTAATTGTGCTGTTAAAAATGTTTATCACTATAGCTCCCAGTGGCGCAGTAGGTTAAAGCACTGAGTTGCTGGACTTGCGGACCGAAGGGTTGCAAGTTTGAATCCAGGGAGTGGGATGAGCTCCCGCTGTTAGCCCCAGCTTCTGCCAACCTAGCAGTTCGAATGCGAGTAGATCAATATGTACCGCTCTTGTGGGAAGGTAATGGCGCTCCATGCAGTCATACCGGCCACATGACCTTGGAGGTGTCTATGGACAATGCCAGCTACCCCTCTATTCTGCTTTGGTTAGACCACACCTGGAATATTGTGTCCAATTTTGGACACCACAATTCAAGAGAGATATTGTCAAGCTGGAATGTGTCCAGAGGAGGGCGACTAAAATGATAAGGGTCTGGAGAACAAGCCCTATGAGGAGCGGCTTAAGGAGCTGGGCATGTTTAGCCTGAAGAAGAGAAGGCTGAGAGGAGATATATAGCCATGTATAAATATGTGAGAGGAAGCCATAGGGAGGAGGGAGCAAGCTTGTTTTCTGCTTCCTTGGAGACTAGGACGCAGAACAATGGCTTCAAACTACAAGAGAGGAGATTCCATCTGAACACGAGGAAGAACTTCCTGACTGTGAGAGCCGTTCAGCAGTGGAACTCTCTGCCCCGGAGTGTGGTGGAGGCTCCTCCTTTGGAAGCTTTTAAACAGAGGCTGGATGGCCATCTGTCAGGGGTGATTTGAATGCAACATCCCTGCTTCTTGGCAGAATGGGGTTGGACTGGATGGCCCAGGAGGTCTCTTCCAACTCTTTGATTCTATGATTCTTAGGCTTAGAAATGGTGATGAGCACCAACACCCAGAGTCGGACAGAAATGGACTTAATGCCAGGGGAAAACTTTACCTTTACTTACATATCATAAGATCTCAGGGTGATCACACTACTACTTCAAATAAATGATGTAACTGAAATAGGAAAGGAGGCACGTTTTCCACTTTAAGGAAAGCAAAAGGGGTTCAATGTGTTGTCGAAGGCTTTCATGGGCGGAATCACTGGGTTGTTGTAGGTTTTTCTGGGCTATATGGCCATGTTCTAGAGGCATTCTCTCCTGACGTTTCGCCTGCATCTATGGCAAGCATCCTCAGAGGTAGTGAGGTCTGTTGGAACTGGGAAAAAGGGGTTTATATATCTGTGGAATGACCAGGGTGGGACAAAGCAAAAGGGGGTTCTCTCGATGGGTGTTAACAAGTGCCTATATCTAAAAGAAGTGGTTCCCAACCTTTTTTTTTTTGACCAGGGATCACTTTGACCAAGGGTAATTCTCCAATATTAGTACCTTAAAGGTTACAAATCAGTTTTTGGTCAACTTTAGATTTGGTTTGGTAATTGGGGTGTGGATTCAGAAAATTGCATAGGATATTATTTATTTATTTATTTATTTATTTAGAGGTTTTCTATACCGGCCTTCTCAACCTCGACGAGGGACTCAGGTCGGTTTACAGTGCATATCAAATACAATCATACAAGGATAGACCGCATCAGCTCTAGTTTCTGATACAGAATGTATGCCATCCAGTAGTCAACATTTGCTCAACCACAGAAAAATATATTTAATAATCTAGAGATGATGTGGTAGTAGTAATCTTTTGTGGGTAGTCTGCCTCTTTCCTCCTGACATCCCAATTGCCTCGGCACTATAAGAGGGTTTCACGAGATCAGTTGCTCCCATTGATGTGTGGATCAAGGGTCTGGAGAACAAGCCCTATGAGGAGCGGCTTAAGGAGCTGGGATGTTTAGCCTGAAGAAGAGAAGGCTGAGAGGAGATATGATAGCCATGTATAAATATGTGAGAGGAAGCCACAGGGAGGAGGGGGCAAGCTTGTTTTCTGCTTGGAGCGCGGGTGTCTGGAGCTTATATCCGAGAATCCGCACAGAGATAAATGGAGGCTGGATAGTTGAGGGGACTTGAGTGAGGGGTTGACAAACTGGTATAGTTAGTTAACGTTGATCGCATCATGTGCTGAGATGGTATGCCAGGCCTGGGCGAGTAGTCGAGTATAGAAGAGTGACGGGGGGTTTGCAGTCCTGAACGTTTTGTTGTTCTTGATATGGGAAAAAAGTCAGGTATCTTCTTATAACCCGGGCCGGTGGGTAGGCGTAGGTCTAGTGAGAGAGCGGGCAACCCATGCGCGTAAGGCACAACCGGGAACGACAGAGAGGGAGCAAACTGTTTGCTTCCTGGAGACTAGGACGCGGAACAATGGCTTCAAACGACAAGAAAGGAGATTCCATCTGAACATGAGGAAGAACTTCCTGATTGTGAGAGCTGTTCAGCAGTGGAACTCTCTGTCCGGAGTGTGGTGGAGGCTCCTTCTTTGGAAGCTTTTAAACAGAGGCTGGATGGCCATCTGTCAGGGGTGATTTGAATGCAATATTCCTGCTTCTTGGCAGAATGGGGTTGGACTGGATGGCCCATGAGGTCTCTTCCAACTCTTTGATTCTATGATTCTATGATTCTGCTGTGTACCTAAATCAGTGCAATCACTGTGGACCACGAGACCTAAAATAAGGTCTGTGGCTCTAGATGATTAAATATGGTTTTCTGTGGGCAAACAGATGGCAACTACTGGATAGCATATGTTCTGTAACAGAAACTAGAGCTGATGTGGTCTATCCAATGCAATTTTCTGAATCAGCATCCCAAATAACCAAACCAAATCTATTATTGACCAAAAAAGGATTCGGAACCCTTTTGGTACGAATGTTGGAGAGTGGTTCCTGATCAAAGTGGTCTCTGGTCAAAAAAAGATTGGAAACCACTGACCTAAATCCACTAACCTGTTCACAGATCCTCCTCTGTGATGTAACTTTTCTTTAACAGGTGTTCTTTCACTTCCTTGCTTTCAATGTAAATCTCGGATACCATATGGCAAGGAATATACCCTTGTTTTTCTTGGCATTCGCCTCTATAATATCCTTTGCCGTCTTTGTCTCCAAACACCTTTAGGATTTGTCCCTCTTTAAAGGACAATTCCTCTCCATCGGCCTCGGAGTTAGGAGACATTGTCAGAGGATCGTAGTCAAAAAGTGCGACAAATAACCTTTCTGAGTCCTCATTGAGTGTACTTCCTAGAACTAAGTTCCCTTGAGGGCTTGGATTAGGCAGCGAGGGAACGATTTGGCAGGTTATCATTTCTGTTTCTGCCAGTTCTGGAGAAGACATGGGCCTCCCCTGGACCCCAGCAGTTTGGGGGCAAGCAAAATGTATCCGATACTCCCCCTCTTCCTCAGAGTCCGAGGAATCAGAATTACTATTGTGGTGACCAAGAGGAGAGCGCCAGCTTCCGGGTCTTGATATTTGCTCTGTTTGAGCTTGAGCCCCCTCCATGTGAGAGAACGCTTTGCACAACTGCGTCATCTGTTGACTGCGTGTCTTCTCCAGGAAACCATCCAGTTCTTCCTCAAGACTGATATTATTGGGTCCTGCCTGTCTGGAACGACTAACTTTTGGGGGTGCAAACTCGATTGAAGAAACACTGGACTTGGGACTCCAAAAAGATGCGCCAGAATGCTCAGCATAGTGTTGGGAAAATGAATCTTTGGAAATATTCACAGGCTGGGTCACTGCATGAACGTCGACCTTTTTGCTTTTAAATGTGGGACTTTTTTGACTCAGGAAATACTTTTTTGACCTTTTCTTTTGAGAGTCTTCAGGAAACAGTTGTGATTCTGCTTGGGTGTAATTGGCTGATTCCGCACACCTTGACGCTGGAAAAACACATTCGGAAGACTGCTTCCAAACAGAGGGAGAGAGATTGGAAAACACGTTATCGTTATGCCTTGCCTTTGGAAGAGTTGCCCATGTTGGAGAGGACTCCTGATCCTGGGGAATGTCCCCTGGTGTAGAAGTGCCTGACTCTTGGCAATTAGAAGTGAAGTGAATGGTGAAATTGCTCTCTGCGTTGGATATAGATGGGTTGGAGTGAAGGGATAGAGATGCATTGTGTCCTGTAGCAATGGACCCATCGTCAGACTCGGCGGCCTGGCTGCAGAGAACAGGGGTTGGCAATGAAGAAGGAGGGGTGCTCAGTATCGTGGCTGGGATCAAAGCTGGCACAGAACCCACAGATTCTCCATATGGGGACAAAGTCTTTACAAAAACCTTGCAGGGCCCGTGAAACATACGCAGTTGAGATGCTTCTAACGAAACCCTTCCAGCTGTTGGTGACATCACTTCTGTGACTTTCCATCCGTTTATGTAAACAGCATAGCCAGTGACCTTAACTCCATTGGATGATCCCGCTGTATCAATGGTTACTGGCAACCAGCTAATGATCAGAAACTCTGAAGAAGAATTGGGGTGAACCTGGACATCAAGGGGAGGATTGGGCAATCCTACTAATAGGGTAGTAATGGTAATTGCTCTTGATATCCGTTCCAAATGGCCTTGAGGAAACTCTTCAAAAGGAGCTCGAGTTTCCACTTTGATATTGTACTGGGTGTTGGGTTTCAGGTTTCGGAAAGTGTACCAATAAACCCCCTTTTCTGTCACGTCGTATTCTTCCTCGTTGAGATACACGGTATGCGTATAGTTACTGCTTCTTGGCAGCCAAGTGATCTCTGCCGAGGTTGCAGTGACACTCCGAAGCTCCAAGAGGGTCGGCGCAATATGGAAACCATGTCCTACCAGGAAAGTACATTGCAACTTATCAGAGTGTCCTTTGTCGGTCACACTCTGCACTGAAATCCGGTAGGAACGAGACTTCAGATCCAGGTTCTCAATCACGGCTTTCATCTGGTTGCTGTGCTTGACATTACAACATAAATCTGTGTTGACGTAAATATTATAGCTATGTACTTCTCCCCAGTTATTTGCTACCTGTGGTGGATCCCAGCCGATGATGACAGATTTGGCAAACTGTCTGATAAGCGTCAGATTCCGGGGATAAGGAACTACCTCCTGGTCATCGCCCATTTCTCCTCCGAATTCGTTTGTCAAGAGATTAATGCACAAATCTTCCTCGGGGTTGTCGTTCCCTTCCTCGCTGCTCGCATTTCGGTATGGGCACCCTACTTCATGGTAGCAATAGAAAGACATGTCCCTTGGCTCCTCCAAAGGAAGGAAACTGATGAGCTCATTCCCTGAAACTTCTTCTACCAGGTTCGAAGGTATCATCCCTCTCCTGCCATCCATCAACTCCCCTTCGTAGAATCCATCTTCGTCCATTTCCCCACAGACATAAACATACTCTCCGGCTGTGAGTGGAAGCTCTGTCTCTGGGTTTTTATTAGGGCCATCGAAGGGATCGTAGCTGTAGCGTGCCAGAAAGACGCGAAGTTTGGGAAGACCTGGATTTTCTAAGTCAAGATTTATGGATATTTTATCGCTTTCCAGTTCTGGTGTTTCTTCTGTCGTATCTCCTTTCGGATTAGGACAAGACTGAGAGCGGTTGTGGATGGAATCCGATCCAGAGGCACTCGAGTGAGTCTCTAGTTCTTCAGCTTGTTGGAGCAAAGCACGAAACTCTCGAGACGCAGGGCTTTTATCACAGTTCTTCCTTTTTCCACCGCTGTGAAAACTGCGACAGGTGTCTTGATTCCCTTTTGAGGGGGAGACGATGGATGTGGTTGTGTATGTCGCATGGGATGATTCCACTTCCAAGATTCCAGATATCTTCTCTTGTAATTGCCCAAATCCTTGAGACTGAAGGTTAAAGCATTCTAACTCTTTCACTCGAGCTTCAAGCTCTTCGACGGTTTTGTCGTTTTCTCTTCTTGTTTTTTCCTGGGTTTGCTGGAGTTGTCGTATTTCTTCTTCTTTGGTCTGCAGCACTAACAGGGTTTCTTCGTGCTCGGATACTAGCTGTTGCCGCCTTTCCACGATCTCTTTCAAATGGCTAATTATTTGTTCCAAATTCTCCACTTTGCTCTCAAGGCCCTTCGTCAATTGCACGGCAGAATTGCGAGCATCTGTTGCCTCCACGAGTTTCCTATTGAGCTCGGTGTTTTCATTCTCACGTTTCTCTGTCACTTCATTCTTCTGATGGAGGTGGGAGTTTTCCTCACTGACCCTGGTGTTTTCCTGTAATACCTTTTTGAGCTGTCTTTCCAATTCATCACATTGCTTTTGTTTGGTCTCTATTTCACATTCAAGGTTTTCACATTGCTTGCTTTTCTCAGAAAGCTTCTCCTTCAACGCTTGTATGCGATTTTCAGTATCTGAATCTATTTCCAAAAGGTTCTTGCTTTCATTCTTGATGCCATTTCCAGCTGGCGGTGATTCCAAATCTACATGGTCAACCAATATGTTTAGTGTCTCTTTTGGCAAAGATGTGTTCTCCAAAGGTGTATCTGGTGAGGTTTCCTGTATACTCACAGGTGAAGGTTCAGAATATGAATTTATTTTGGAGCGCTCAAGAGATTCCCTCAGGTTTTTGAGCATAATCTGTCGCTGTAATCGCAGAACTTCTTTCTGGGATTCTCGCAGCAAGCGCTCAAAATCACAATTGTTAAGCAAATGCTGGGTCTCTTTGCCTCCAGATAGCTTGGAATGAAGATCCCAACATTCCCTCTGTAAGGCTTCTAACTCTTGATTTTTAGCCAGGAGGAGACTGGCTTGTTCAATCCGGTCTTTGGCCCTTTGCCGAGCAAACGATGTTTTGTACAGTTCCATATCTGAGCGACTCAGGGCCACTGGGATGTGGCTGCTGCTCACTTTGAGGCTGGATTCTTGGAGCCGTTTGGCTCTTTCTTCCAGCCTCTTAGCAATTCCTATCAGCTCGGTATTCTTCTTCTTGAGCCGCGTGACTTTCTCTTGCATCTCTGGGAAGCTGTTCTCCCTCAGCAAGGCGTTCTCGCTCTTGAGGTTGGTGCATCTTTGCTCCAGATCTGCCAGAGCTTTCAAAAACTCTGCATTCTGCTTCGCCAGCTCATCATAACTGTTCCTGGACAGCCAGTTGTGCACCTGCGGCTCTCGGGGCTCCTCCTGCCCTTCAGTTGCCACAGACATTACGGCACTAGCTTTGTTCTCTTCTGGAGGAACCTCCTCACCATCCTCTTGCTGGGCCCTATTCTCCATAGATATCTCCTCTCCTAAAGTAATGTGAGGTGCCTTATGTTGTTCCTGGGAGAAGTACTTGCTGTTCTCCATGGGCATCTCTTTCTCTGAAGTTTGTTTGGGTACCTCTTGTTCCACTAAACTGTGGAACTTCTCCTCCGTGGGAACCTCCTTTCCCAATATATTTTTGAACGTCTGTTGTTCCTGGGAGAAGTGGCTGTTGTTCCCCATGGGCACCTCCTTTCCCAAAGTTTGTTTGGGTGCCTCTTGCTCCACGAAAGTGTGAGACTTCTCTTCCATGGGAGCCTCCTTTCCCAATATATTTTTGAATGTCTGCTGTTCCTTTGGGAAGTGGCTCTTGTCCTCCATGGCCTTCTGCTTTCTCAAAGCATTTTCAGGTGTCTGCTGTTGCTGCTCCTGGGAACAGCGGCTCTTACTGCATGTGCATGAGCTCCGTCCTTGCCTTTGTGGAGACTCACGGGAGAGGTTCAAGTCACTCTCCAACGAACATGACTTGGAGGCTTGGCAGGCGGCCAAGAGGCTGCTTAGGGTGTGAGGCCCGCTCTTGGTGACCTTAGGGGGGTCGGAGGGACCCCTCTGTGGGAAGCCCAGGGTGGGCTGCTCCCCCTCAAAGCGCTGGAGGATGTACTTGAGGAAGAGACTCCGCTCAAGCTCCAGCTCGGCCTTGAGGTGGCGAATGCGGACGGCCTGCTCTCCGTCGACCTCCCAGCGGAGCTTGCCCAGTACTTCCTGCAGCTTGGCACGGCTTTCTCCACTCAGGCCCTGGCCTTGGCCTTTGCAGCGGCCCACCAGCTCTTCAGCCAGCTGGCGCTGGAGGTCTCGTGCCTGGCGCATGGCAGCATCACGCTCCCGCTGCAGCAGCTCCTGGGCTTGGCGCAGCTCGGCTTCCTTCCAGCGGAGCAGCTGCCGGATCTCAGTCTCGCGCTCCCGCAGTCCGGCCTCCTTCAGTTGGTGGAGTTCACGGGCCCGTTGTTGCTCCCACTTGGAGCGGAGCTGGTCGGCTAGCAGCTGCCGCTCCTTCTCCGCTGCCTCTCGCAGCTCTCGGGCCTCCAGGGCGAAGTGGCGCCGGGCTTCCTGGGAGCGGAGACGCTCAGCCTCCAGCTCCGCCCGCAGTGCCTCCAGCTCCCGGCGGTGGTCTTCGTGGGCAAGGGCTGAGGATGGGGCCCGAGGTGGGGGAGGCGGCGGAGGGCCACCACCTGCCCCTCCATTGCCTCCTCCTGCTCTGCGATGGGAGAGGCTGGGCGAGGCCTCAGGCGTTGGTGCCTCGCCACCTCTGACTGAAGGACCATCTTTGGTCATGTTCTCAGGGGAAAAGTAGCTTTTGGTGGGAAGACCCTCTCTGCACGTGCAGCCACTAGCTCACGTCCATTGGTCTTCAAAGTCAAGGAACTTTGAGGACCGCTCTGTTCTCACTGCCATTGTCTCTTCCTCCATTCCATTCCAACCCCAACTCCCTTCTAGTTGTCATGGCGTGGAGGGAGGATGCCTGGGCTGGGCTCTCTAGAACCATAGAGTTGGAAGAGGCCACAAGGTGCCATTGAGTGGAGCCGTTCAGCAGTGGAACTCTCTGCCCCGGAGTGTGGTGGAGGCTCCTTCTTTGGAAGCTTTTAAACAGGGGCTGGATGGCCATCTGTCAGGGGTGATTTGAATGCAATATTCCTGCTTCTTGGAAGAATGGGGTTGGACTGGATGGCTCATGAGGTCTCTTCCAACTCTTTGATTCTATGATTCTATCTTTATCCCAGTCTTTGTGTTGCACGTTTTCAATCAGGCATGGGCAAACTTTGGCCCTATAGGTGCTTTAGACTTCAACTCCCAGAAATCCCAGCCAGCTTACTGGCTATTAGGAATTGTGGGAATTGAAGTCCAAAACACCTGGTGGACCGAAGCTGGCCAATACCTGATTTAAGATTGTTGTTGTTCATTCGTTAAGTTGTTTCCGACTCTTCATGACCTTCATCTTCATCTTTAATTACTTATTGATCGCCCTCCATCCGAGATGCTCCAGGCGATTTACATTGCAGAAATTATACAGGATAAAACACATACATACAAATATTAAAATTAACATGGGTCAAATGCTCTAGTAAAAAGCCAGGTCTTAAGTGCTAGGAGAAAATGCCCTGAGTCACGCATGGCTCTCAAATAGGAAGGCAAGGAATTCCAAAATAGAGAAGGTCCATCTTCGTCTGGTGCTTTCCAAGTGCACTTCCCTAGGACCCGGCATATAGAGCAAATCACATTAGGAGTCTTTTGGTGACCTCCGATGATGGTAGAAGGAGAGACGGTCTCTAAGATACAGTGGACCCTGGCCATATAAAGTTTTAAAGGTCAGGACCAGCATCTTATACAAACCACGATACTCAATTGGGAGCCAGTGTGGATGCCGCAGCACTGGTGTTATATGGCATTTCATGGGTGTTTTTGTGAGTAACCTGGCTGCAGCATTCTGGACAATACGGAGCTTTCAGGTCGTAGACATCGGAAGGCCAACGCACAAGGCGTTACAATAGTCTAGCCTAGATGTGACCGTTGCCAGAGCCTCATCCGACAGGTAAGGTGCCAGTTGCCTCGCTTGTCGTAGATGGAAAAAGGCCTGTTTGCTGGCAGCAGTGACCTGAGCCTCCATCGTCAGCTGCTAATTCAAAACGACACCTAGGCTCTTAACGGTAGGCGATGGAGATAGAGCAGCACCATCAAAGGTAGGTCATGGACCAGCCCACGCCAGAGCTCCCTGTTGGCCGTCACTACATCAGCTCTAGTTTCGGTTACAGAACATATGCCAAGAATGATTGACAACTGGAAAATAGAGGGAGAAAACGTGCAGGCCGTGACAGACTTTGTATTTCTAGGTGCAAAGATGACTGCAGATGCAGACTGCGGCCAGGAAATCAGAAGACGCTTCCTTCTTGGGAGGAGAGCAATGTCCAGTCTCGATAAAATAGTAAAGAGTAGAGACATCAGACTGGCAACAAAGATCTGCCTAGTCAAAGCCATGGTATTCCCTGTAGTAACCTACGGATGTGAGAGCTGGACCTTAGGGAAGGCTGAGCGAAGGAAGATCGATGCTTTTGAGCTGTGGTGTTGGAGGAAAGTTTTGAGAGTGCCTTGGACTGCGAGAAGATCCAACCAGTCCATCCTCCAGGAAATAAAGCCCGACTGCTCATTGGAGGGAAGGAGACTAGAGACAAAGTTGAAGTCCTTTGGCCACATCATGAGGAGACAGCAAAGCCTAGAGAAGACAATTGATGCTGGGGAAAGTGGAAGGCAAAAGGAAGAGGGGCCGACCAAGGGCAAGATGGATGGATGGCATCCTTGAAGTGACTGGACTGACCTTGAAGGAGCTGGGGGTGGTGACGGCCGACAGGGAGCTCTGGCGTGGGCTGGTCCATGAGGTCACGAAGAGTCGGAGACGACTGAACGAATGAACAACAAGTCGCCATCTGCTTGCCCACAGAAAACCATATTTAATAATCTAGAACCACAGACCTTATTTTGGGTCTCGTGGCCCACAGGTTGGGAACCACTGATTTAGGTACACAGCAGAGCAACAGATCGGATCCCAATTTGCCTTGGCAAGATCATAGAACTGGTTTTCTTAAAAGGTAAAGCTAGGAGATCCTCCAGACAATAAAAGTGGGGAAAGGATAGTTGGTTTGGTTAGAAAAACCGTTTTAATTCATATTTGAAATTCATAAAGGGGGGTCTTTTTAAAGCAGGGTATTGTTGATTTTAGATCAGTGGTTCCCAACCTGTGGTCCGTGGACCACCAGTGGTCCCCAAGAATCGTAGAATCGTAGAATCAAAGAGTTGGAAGAGACCTCATGGGCCATCCAGTCCAACCCCATTCTGCCAAGAAGCAGGAATATTGCATTCAAATCACCCCTGACAGATGGCCATCCAGCCTCTGTTTAAAAGCTTCCAAAGAAGGAGCCTCCACCACACTCTCGGGGCAGAGAGTTCCACTGCTTAACGGCTCTCACAGTCAGGAAGTTCTTCCTCATGTTCAGATGGAATCTCCTCTCTTGTAGTTTGAAGCCATTGTTCCGTGTCCTAGTCTCCAAGGAAGCAGAAAACAAGCTTGCTCCCTCCTCCCTGTGGCTTCCTCTCACATATTTATACATGGCTCTCTCCAGCCTTCTCTTCTTCAGGCTAAACATGCCCAGCTCCTTAAGCCGCTCCTCATAGGGCTTGTTCTCCAGCCCCTTGATCATTTTAGTTGCCCTCCTCTGGACACATTCTGGACACAGAACGAAAATACGGTCCGTGATCTCACCATTACTACACCGTTGCCTCAAAACCACATGTCAACAAGAGCACTCACGAAACCTTCTTACAGTGCCGAGGCAACTGGGATGTCGGGATGGGAGAGGCTGACTACCCACAAAAGATTACTACTGCCACATCAGCTCTAGATTATTAAATATGGTTTCCTGTTGGCGAGCAGATGTTGACTATTGGATGGCATATGTTCTGTATCAGAAACTAGAGCTGATGTGGTCTATCCAATGCCACTTTCTGAATCAGCACCCCAAATAACCAAACCAAATCCAAAATTGACCAACAACTGATTTGTAACCATTTTGGTACTAATATTGGAGAATGGTCCTTGGTCAAAGTGGTCCCTGGCCAAAAAAATGGTTGGGAACCACTGTTTTAGATACAGGCACTTGTTAACACCCATCGAGAGAACCCCCTTTGCTTTAATTAAAGCGGAAAACGTGAATCCTTTCCTATTTCATTTACATCGTTTATTTGAAGTAGGAGTGAGATCACCCTGAGATCTTAGGATATAGAGGTAAAGGTTTGCCCTGACATTAAATCCAGTTGTGTCCGACTCTGGGGGTTGGTGCTGATCTCCATTTCTAAGCCGAAGAGCCAGCGTTGTCCGTAGACATTTCCAAGGTCATGTGGCCAGCATGACTGCATGGAGCACCGTCCTTTCTGCCAGAGCGGTACCTATTAATCTACTCACATTTGCATGTTTTCTAACTGCTAGGTTGGCAGAAGCTGGGGCTAACGACGGGAGCTCACCCCGTCCTGCGGATTCGAACCGCTGACTTTCCAGTCAGCAAGTTGTGGAGATTTTGTCTTAAATCCTTAAGTGTTTTGTTGTGGTTTCAGACTGGGAAAAGACATGAGGATTAGCAGAGGTGGAGGAATGATTTTCCCACTCGGTAACTAAAAATATAGGTTCTTGTGGGTTTTTTCAGGCTATAGAGCCATGTTCTAGAGGCATTTCTCCTGACGTTTCGCCTGCATCTATGGCAAGCATCCTCAGAGGTAGTGAGGTCTGTTGGAATTAGGACAATGGGTTTATATATCTGTGGAATGGCTGGGGTGGGGCAAGGAGCTCCTCCCTGCTGCAGTTAGGTGTGAATGTTTCAGCTGACCACCTTCATTAGCATTTGAAGGCCTGGCTGAGCCTGGGAAAATCCCCTGTTGAGAGGTGTTAAGATGTGCCTGATTGTTTCCTCTCTGCTGTTTTGCTGTTGTAATTTTAGAGTTTTTTAATACTGGTAGCCAGATTTTGTTCATTTTCATGGTCTCCTCCTTTCTGTTGAAATTGTCCACATGCTTGTATTTCAAGCATATTATTTGAGAACACAGAAATGCTGGACCACACCAACAACCACCATGTCAGACTACACAGAGACTCCATTGAAATCCACAAGCATGTGAACAATTTCAACAGAAAGGAGGAAACCATAAAAATGAACAAAATCTGGCTACCAGTATTAAAAAACCCACATCTAAACACCTCTCAACAGAATATTTTCCCAGGCTCAGCCAAGCCTTCAAATGCTAATGAAGGTGGTCAGCTGAAACATTCACACCTAGCTTCAGCAGAGAGCTCTTTGCCCCACCCCAGTCATTCCACAGATATATAAACCCATTTTCCTAATTCCAACAGACCTCACTACCTCTGAGGATGCTTGCCATAGATGCAGGCAAAACGTCAGGAGAAATGCCTCTAGAACATGGCTCTATAGCCCGAAAAAACCCACAAGAACCTAGTGATTCCAGCCATGAAAGCCTTCGACAATATGACCCAAATAGAGGATAATCCATTTTACTGGGGTGGAGGCTGGGTTGAAGGAGTAAACCCTTTCCACCCATATCACTGTTGTGGAAATAACCCTCATTTATGAAATGGGAAGGGGGAATAACCAGTGGAAACAAGGGAAATGAATTTCCTCCTTCAACTTCCCCCTTGTAAAAGGGACTATCCTTTTTTCCTCTAGCACCCCCTTGTGGCCTCCGCCAGGATAATTCAACTGCACAGAATAATTTTAGGT